AAGCTAATTACCTTTCATAATTTTTAATTTTTTTCACTCAGTTATATTTCCTTCACTGTATAGCCACGGTCTATTTGGCTACTTATGCGCCCATGATCAGTGTAATAGCTCAAAACGCAGAGAGCAAAATATGTACCTTATATTACTTCTATTATTCTTTTAAAAATGTAACCATTAGCCAATGTTTAAAAACTATATAAAAATCAGACTATGGAAGTTAAAATGCAAAAAGGTAGAGAAGAGCATTTAAGAAATCCCTTAAAATGGGAACATATTCATGTTTCTTGGACCAGAGGCCCCTGTTATTTTAAAAGATGCAGCATTGAGCAGTCTAAGCTGGCTACATGGGCCTGAAAGGAGTAGAGGAGCAGGCTGGCCCTTAAGTAAAAGGGAAACTCCTGTGTGTGGCTGGGGAACCACATGACAGGAAGGGGGCAGGGGTTTGGGACATATAAGCCGGTGGCCTGAGTAAGAGCAGGCAGTCTGGTCCTACATGCTGCAGGAAGATGATCCTCTGGGAGAGTTGGCTGCAGGAAACAGGCCCATGGACACTCAAGCTACCCATGAGGCTGCTGAAGGGGAAAAATAGCTTGAGCTGAAGTATTGACCCAGAGTGGAGAAGAATTTTGTGGAAGCAGTTTGCTTATATTTCTGTTATGCTGAGGTTTCAGACCAGAGGACCGGATGTGGCTAATAGGGGTAAAAAGGAAACCACAGGAAGGCACCCAGTGTAAAGCTGCCCAGCTAGGGCTAGGAACCTCAGGAGCAGAGCAGCACTTAAGTAGCTGCACCAAGTTCAGGGAGCCTAGGGGCAGTGCAGAGTGCAAGCAGCCATGACAGGGTCAGGGACCCTAAGGGCTACCACACGAGACCAAGACCAAGGCCTCGGAGGCCAAGAGGGTGAGACAGGGCTGGAGCCTAGGAGCTGAGGTCTGGGACAGTGGACCTTGCGCTGGAGGAAAGGGGATGAAGCCAGGAAGGCAGAACCCCAACAAAGGTTCAAGGCTTGAGGAGCCAGGGCCAGGGTGACCTCCAACCCCCAAACACTGACCAACATATACAGCGCTTGGGTGTGTCTATGGGGGTGGCTAGAGCTCATGATTATTACCCCTAAGGCACAACTGAGGTTGTCTTAAAGGGGAAACCCACCCTGTAGAGTTTGAGGCAGAGGAGCTCCAAGGACTGTACTCAGAAGAAAGGCACCCAGGAAGAGGCTACCCTGGCCTGTGGAGGCAGCCTCCCAGGCTAAGACCTTAAGATCAAGGCATGGCAGGAAAGAGATAGGAGGCAGGGGAGCATAGGTAGGCAGGTCTGACCACTAGGGGGTATCAGATGCTGTATGGATGGCCTGAGCCTGTCACAGGACAAATAAATTAAAAATGTGACGAAGGAATTTTCCTGTTGAGATTCTAATATAGTTGTAAAGCCATTTTTCATGAATAAAAAAATTTCAACCGGTTCTTTTTTTCTTCTTCCTTTCCTACTTCGAGGGTAATATCCCACAGTGCTGGAAGGGGACTGAAGAAGCATTAGTAGCTGCTCCACAGTTTTCTTTCTAATAAGCAGAACAATGGAAGTTGCTAGAATCCTTAGTAATAGTTTTAAAAAATGATGGTAAGTAAAAACAGAACTGTATTTATCAAATTACTATACGTGGAAAATCACCAGTCACTTTTGGATCATTTTTACTTACAGCTGATCCAAAAGGGACTTCTGGGCTCAAGCTCTGGTCCCTGAAGTAGCAAAGTGCTAGACAACCATTAGACAAGACTGGCTACCCGCTGTACTCTTTTTCAAGTCTCTGGGTCAAGAATAGTTCAGAAAAAAAGAAAATATATTTATTTTTCAGCAGTCACCTTCCTGCCTCCCCAGAAAGAAATAACCGATTAACTTTAAAACTAACAATAAATATATAACAAGTAAGGAATAATTAAAGCAATACATATGCATGTGCGCACAACATACACACTTAGGCTTTCTAATATAAAACTATATGACATTGTTTCCTCATTTTTTAGAAAAGATTATTTTTATTTCAGCTTAATGATAGTCCCACATGTTGTTCTTATTTCCATAAACTTTGCTTATGCTGCTTTACGAAGTTTGCTCCTGTACTAGTTGGATCAACTGACTGTAGTCAACTCCTAAATTAAGATATTTGCATTTACAATATTTTACCCATTCAACATTCTTATTTTAAGGCATCCCTGCTGCAAAAATTTACAATATATGTGCCATTCCACAAAATTATGTTAGATTCATACATACATACATAATAGTATGGAGAAAAAAAATCAATGGTTTAAAAAGCATTTCAAATTACTGTTATGCCATACCTTATTAAAAAGAATTGTAAGGTAATTTATATGTTGGTGGTAGCACAGTCTCTTGAATCAGCAACAAAGCTATCATTCAGAGTCATTGTTTGCACAGAACTGGATATGACAGATATCTGAAAGCTGGCATCTGGCTATCAAAATATCAAAACTGACACACAATGGATTGGATGTAAAGTTAGAGACAGTTATTAAAACCCCCTAGATAAAAAAGCTGTGCAATTGTTACCTAGAAAAGTTACTGGAAATGCAAGCAGCTTAACGTTGCTGTGAATAAAGACAGAATCTGACAAATACAGCGGAAACTACTGCAGATTGGAACAAAATTATCACAGAATTACAGAAGGTAGAAGTGGAAAAGACTTGTTAGGTCATACAATCTATATTCCTGTTAGTGCCAGATGGTTCTCAATAGGACATTCAAAGATAATAAGACAAAACACTGAAAAGGCTTATGGAAAATTATTTACAATTTTGAATAAAAAACCAAAATGAGAATCAAAGAAAGAAATGAATGGATTTTCAAACAAAACAAACATTACAAGTAATGAGTTGGTTCTTTCTGCACATGTTTTTTACCCCCTTGTCTACCAGGCAATAGGCAAGTTTATGGGGAGAAAGTTGAATCATACCTGGCTAGTACATATCTATAGTTAAGGGGAAAAATATCTCCTCTATTATTTGAGTTCAAGATCATCATTAAAGGTATGCTTCTTTTAATGGAGCATGTCTGTAAACCAGAGGACAATCTGACCAGCCACAGCAGTCCAGAAAAGGATGGAATTTAGTTCTTGAGTTTATTTAATCAGAAGTCAGACTGGAAGGGACCACTTGGGTAACTGAGCCCAATCCCTGCAATTGCAGGCAACCATGTAGTATACATGAAGTGCAAAAAGTTCATGAGAGCATCTACTCTGGCATACCAGCATGCCTCATACACAACACATCTTATCAACCGGTCTCTTTCTTCAAAGCGTTTCTTTTTAACAAGGAGAAGATGCAAGAGGATGCAGAACACTTGTTCATAGCAAGGATGGGGAAGGACACAGCCTGTTCCCTAGAAAGATACCCTTTCCCAGGGTACTAAGAGAGAAGTTAGCTGTGTTAGTCTAACAGGCAGAAGGCAGGGCTGTGTGGCATCTGAGAGATTACCTGGTTTAGAGAGGCATGATCTTTCATAGGCTACTACCCCAGATGTGAGGAACTAAGGCCCCTTCTACACATGCAGGAAAAGGCATGATGGGATTGAATGCACAATCTTTGTTTCATTACATCCCATTATGCCTTATTGCCAATGCAGGAGCCTGATCCTGGGCTCCTTCTGCACTGGCAAAAAGCAAGCTCCCACAGCTAACAGCCCCCTCATTAGAGGGTTTCCCAGCTGTGGGGGCACCCCTCACACTACTAGAGCTAGGGGATCATGGCTCCTGTGATCTCCCAGGCTCAGGGGTGCATGAAACCCTGGGGTCTGGGAGATCTCAGGAGCTGCAATCCCCTAGGTCTGGGGGTTTCATACCTCCCTCCACCCAGGGCAGACATAGCCCCTGACTGCTAAAACCTAGCTGAGTCCTGACCCCCAGCATCCACAGCTGTGGGACTCTGGGTCCCCATGTTGCCAGGACCCAAAGTTGCCAGTTGCTGGGGCTGAGAGTTCCCCCAGTTGTGGGACTTCCAGTCCTGCTGGGCATGATGCATCCCTGTGGCTGGAGCTCCATCAGCTATTTGGGCTCCCAGCCTTTGGGAAGACTCTACTACATGTGCAAATTAAAGCTCCATAGTTATCAGCTATAAAACTAGAACACATTTTCAAGGTTTAACTTTGTAGCTGGTTGGAGCCTTTTACAGTGTGATAGCTACTTTGCACATGAAGCTAGTCTTAAGGTCACTGTGTAATTAACTAGTTAGTAGTGAGATACCTGTAATGTGTAGAGAAGGCCTAAGGAGAGGCTCATACTCTAGTCTGTCTGTCTTTTTCCTGTCTCTGTTTCCACAACAAAAGCAAAAAGCCTAATATCTAGCTTCCTACAGGTCACATGCCTGTTCCCATT